AACTTAAACCAATTACAAATAAAATACTTTTTTATTATAATAATACTATTATCAATAGTATATTAAATTATTTTATTTTTATAAAAATCATTATGTAAAACTTTGTTCTTTGGATAACTTATAAAGTTTATATATAATTTAATAACAAACATTGAAATTTGTTTCAGTTTTTATTCATAATAATAGTTTCAATAAACTAATATTTATACATAAAATTTATACATTATACAAAGTTGCAACGCTTTATTTCAAAAGACAGTTTACAGATAATAATTTCAATTCCTCAAACTAATGAAGAATTTAATACGAAAAACATTTGATATATAAATAAATATCAATAAGAATTTCATTTTAAGACAATGTCCTACCAAAATGGAGGGAGTGGTGTTCCTTCTCATGGTGCAGTGACAGTACCCATTTCTGACGACAAAGATACCTCAGCCCCATCGATCGCAACAGCAAGCACTTCGATGGTTACAAAACCAAAGTCCAAAAAACAACGTTCATGTTGTGAATGTGGTTGTTGTGACATTTATTGCGTTTGTTGTATTCCAATGCCATGTCCCCCGGGATGCTGTGACGGGTGCCCGTGTCTATTTTTTCAAAATTGTGATGAGTGTAGTTGTGATGGTGATGATGGTGATGGCGTCGATATTGGTGATGTTGGTGGTACAGACAATGGAGGTGGTTGGTTCTCTGACATATTCGGAGGTGGTGATGATGGAGATGGAGCCGACTTCGGTGGGTTTGATGCTGGCGGATGTGATGGTGGTGGAGATGGCGGAGGAGGTGATTAACTTTTTTGTTATTTAAAATGTTATATATAACAAAATAAAAAACAATTTAAATGTTATATATAACATTTCAAATGCTTTTTGGAACAAATAATTGAACAAAAATGTTATTTGAAAAAATAACGTCTTTTTCGTGTGTAAAAATGATAAAAATATACTATTATTGTATAGTTTAATTTATTATGATTATAAATTTAAAAAATAAGAAGAAAAATATGATGACTAGAAGATTTATATCGACAAACTACGACAATAAATGAATGGTTGTCTTAAATTAAAATATAATAATATATATAGTAAAAAAAAACTAAAATAATTTATTTTCCGATATAATTTTATTTTTGTTTTCAACCACCAAAAGTTACACAAAAAATATGTCTCGATTCAACAAATTCATATACAATTAAAATGTAATTCTATAAATAAATTAATTTTAGGTTTGAAAATAAAAATCACAACAACTCATTCAATCAATGATCACGTTGTGTCTTTTCATTTTCGTATCATTCGCATCACAAGCAAACGTAGATTGTGATCACTCTTCCTGTTTGAAATGTCCTGAAAATCCCGCTATTTGCACACAGTGTCAAAATGGGTACTTACTCCAAAACGGTTTATGTTCCTGTTTGTTTTTGTTATCATTGTCTAGTAATATAATTATAATAAATAGAATTCATTAAAATAATTCTTTGTTAATTGTTTTACTATATTGATATGGTTTTATGTTCGTTCGAGTGAATGAAGTTATACTTATTCATTTTCTATATTTTAACCATCAGACAAAACTGTCGAACACTGCACAAATGCAGATGGTTACTGGTGCCAGACCTGTGAAGACGGTTACAAATTTAAAGCAGACCAAAACACATGTGTTGGTTTGTTTTTACTGTACCATTTATTTATTAATAACAAACCAAAATTTTAATTATTGAATAATTACTACCACAAATTATACATATACTATTTGTATATAGTATATATTCGCTACTAAACAATATAATTTGATATTATATAAGAATGGTACATTAATTTTCAGAGGGCGAAGATGGGTGTGGATTTCAGAGTCATGAAGGCCATTGTATAACATGTAAAAAGTCCTACGGCCTTGTCGACAGTCATTGTGTGAAATGTCCCACTGACGCCAATTGTGAAACTTTTAACTCGGCTTGTGAGTGTACTCGGTGTGACAGTAGTCACTTCTTGAACGTCTCAAAGTATTGTATCTCTTTGGACCCATATTGTTCTAACTATGGCGCTGCCAGTGACAACCACGCAACCTGCGAAAAGTGCTTAGCGGGGTATTACCTCCACTCCGAGACAAAGACATGCAAAAGTTTGTTATTTAAAATGTTATATATAACATTTTATCCGTTTTCAAATAATGTTATATATAACATTTTAATTCTGCACCAAATAATGTTATTCACAAACAGAAGGGAATTTGGCGAATTGTATGATATATGATGTAAAGAACGGGGCGGTGGTCTGCTCGACGTGTTTATTTGGGTATGTGGTATCGAATGGAGTGTGTACCAATTTGACTGAAGTGTTTGGACCCGACTGTTTGAACTCGTGGAGAGGAGATGTGTGTGAGAGGTGTAAAGAAAAGACATATGCCGATAATATGACGTGCATTCGTTGTATTGAAAATTGTAAGGCATGTACTGATGAGTATTGTGATGTTTGTGAAAATGGATTTGGATATGATGGGACATTGAAAGTGTGTACGGGTTTGTTTTGTGCTATTTTAACCTTAATTTTATAGTAAAATATTTATAATTAATATTATTAATGACTACTATTGATTATACCATTGAATTTATAATTTTGATTATATATTTAACTATATATTTTTATTATATTTTAACTATTGTTTTAATAATAACAGTAACTATAATTTAACTATAATTTTAACTATAATTTTAACTACACATTTTGATTATATTTTAACTATATATTAATTATAATCTTAATTATACTCTAAATTATAATTATATATATCATAACTATAATAATAATATTAACTAAATAGCATGTTCGATAGGATGTGGCTCATGTTCGTATATTTCGAATGTAGAAACGTGTCAAGCGTGTTTACCGGAATACGTCAAAAAAGGGGAAGGGTGTATTAGTTTGTTTTACTAGTATTTTAACTAGAGAAATGATTAATGGGAAGGAAGTGAGTTACCGGCGTATACCTGTGACACAACAGCGACGGACGAAACGACATGCACCGGTTCTGGGAATTCCTGTGTGTATGAAGTCACGACTTTGAAACATCCGCTGTGTGTGTATAAGTCTTCGAATTGCAGTGAGTGGGACACATCCAATTTGTGCACACGATGTCTAATAGGCTATAAAGTCAGTCCATCAAACCCATCAGTTTGTGTTCCCATTGATAATAAGTGTTTGACGTACAAAGAAACGACGGACGGAAAGACGGTCAAGTGCGCTCAGTGCACTAAGGGGTACTTTATAACGGACGATTTTTTGTGCAAACGATGCGACGATGTGTGCGCCGACGGGGAGTGTAGCTATGCTATGGATAACTGCGCAAGCTTCTTGTGTGCCGACCCGAATTGCCAGAAATGCGCGACGCGCACGAGTAAATGTGAGAAGTGCCTTTTTGGGGAAGTCAAAGAAGATGGGAGTTGTGAGCACAAGATCTGTGTGAATGAAATAAGTGAGGGAAAGTGTTCAGTGTGTGCGGAGTATGGAAATACAACTAAAATAGTAAATCCAGAGACAAACCCGACACTCGTGCCAAACACTTTGAGGTTTTATTTACCTGGTGAGAATTTGACATGTCTCTGGGAAACTGAAGAAGACAAAGAAAGTGATTTGCTGTGGCTTTGGATCTTTTTAGGAGTCCTCGCAGGACTTCTTATTATCATTGGAATTAGTGGGATAGTGACCGGTGTCATACTTTATAACAGAAAGAAGGCTTCAAAGTACCAAGACTTGGACAATAATACTGAAAAAAAATAAATCTATAATCAATGGATTAAGTACTAGAAAGTTCGTCGTTTCTTTTTTTGTTTATTGCAACTATTTTAATTATTATATTATTATATTATTATATTATTTTAATAGTTAATAGTTAATAGTTAATAGTTAATAGTTAATAGTTAATAGTTAATAGTTAATAGTTAATAGTTAATAGTTAATAGTTAATAGTTAATAGTTAATAGTTAATAGTTAATAGTTAATAGTTAAATAATTAAATAATTAAATAATTAAATAATTAAATAATTAAATAATTAAATAATTAAATAATTAAATAATTAAATAATTAAATATTAAAATAATTAAATAATTTTTAATTATTAATTAATAGTTTAATAAATAAAACCTCAAAACTAACATTTATGTCTATTAAATATTTACAAGTATAACTCGAAAACACCAACTAAAAAGGAAATGGATAAATTCACACTTTTTAGTACTGAGCATCTTACTGATTTTAATATTGAAGCTCGAGTGTATAAGCACGATGACAGTGGAGCCACAGTAGTAAAAATGGTCACATTAGACCCTAATATGACGTTTTCGATTTTATTTAAGACGCCTGCTATTAATGATAAAGGGATTACCCATATCATCGAGCATTCTGTATTATGTGGGAGTGATCATTACACGACCAAAGAGCCATTTGCCGATTTGCTTCGTGTGAGTTACCAGAACTTTTTGAATGCGTTTACTATGCCAGACTCGACGATGTATCCGATCTCTTCGATGAATGCGGTGGACTATCTCAATCTAATGAAAGTTTATTTAGACGCAGTTTTCCTCCCAAGAGTCCGCCACGACAAGTACCCCTTCCTTCAAGAAGGATGGCGATGGGAACAAAAGGGGTGTCTAGATGCCACTAGTGAAGACTCTTTCACTAGTACTTCCGATGATCCTCATGACGCTGAAAGCAACTTGTGTTACCAAAATATGTCAAGCTCCTCGTCTCAAAATACTTTCAGTATTAAACCAGACTTAACCGTCAACGGCGTCGTCTTCAATGAGATGAAGAGTTCCGAGACCGACCCACTTTCTATATGTCTTCGCGCTCTCAGACGAGCGCTCTATACTGGAACGTATCAGTATGAAGCAGGTGGCATATCTTCTGAAATCGAGCAGCTGACATATAGAGAAGTACAGGACTTTTACTTCTCTCACTATACTCCCCGTAACAGCGTGACGGTCCTCTATTCTCCTCTTTCTTTGTTGTCCTCAGAATTTGAAGTTTTAGACATGTACTTCACGCAGCAGATAAAGTCGGCTGTTAAAAGTGACTTAAAAGAAGGCGCGACGAGTGTTCTATTAGGCGACCCTCTTGAAAGAACCACGAAGATCGAAGTTGAGTACCCGATCGGAGAAGAAGACGAAATCGAGAACAACGCAATTTTAGTGTGTGCGTGGCGGATGGGCGTCATCGACTATGAAACGGCATTTGCACTGAATGCCGTTCAAAAAATTTTTGAAGCAAAAGAGGGCAACGCGTTCGTCGAGAAATTGACTGATTTAAAAATAGCGAAGACAATTAGTGTCGATTTTGACACAGAATACAGCGACCCGACTTTTGTCGTCTTTGCAAAAAATGCAGATCTTAAAAAGATTGAGGAATTTGAAGATCTTTTCCAGATGGAACTTGAAAAGGTTGGGCGGGACGGGTTTGGCTTAGAGAAAGAAATTGCTGCGATCAATTCAGTCGAGTTTGAGGAGAGGGAGTGCGAGGATGAGTGGGGGACATCAAAAGGAGTACTTTTAGCGATGAAAATAGGAGAAGGCTTTGCGCATGAGAAAAGTGACTTGTTTGAATCTTTTCGAATCAAAAAAGTTGTTGAGAAGATTAAAAAAAATTCGAAGTACTTTGCAGAACTCATTCAAAAATTTTTTATTAAAAATTTGCGAAAGGTCGTCGTTTTGTGCACGCCAAGTCAAACTCTGATGAAAAAAATGAGCGACGAGGAGGAAAAAAGACACACAGAAAGATCTCAAAATTTCAATGAGGAATGCATACAGAAAATTATGGAGGAGGAAAAGGAGCTCAAGAGACTACAAAACTTGGAAGACTCGGAGATTCAAAAGAGTACAATTCCGACACTGAAGATTTCTGATATAGCGAAAAAAGGAGTTGATGTTACAATGGAGCGATTGGAGAGTGAAAAAGTGAGATCTGTATATTATAAAGAGAATAGTACGAATGGAATAGTTTACTTTACTTATAGTTTTGATATAAGTAGTTTAAAACTAGACGAAATAGTTCCCGCAACTATACTGAGTAAGTTACTCAAAAGTTTTGACACGAAAAGTCATAGTTTTCTTGAATTAAATACTTTACTAGAAAAATACTATGGCAAAATTGAGTGCAAAATTACTTCGACGTCAAACAAGCGAATCAATGCGGCGCACGACGAAGCTAACAAAGTGATCCCTTACTTTGAAATCACTGGCAAGCTGTTATATGAGAACTCTAAAGAGGCGCTTTTACTTCTTGGTGAGGTGTTGAGCCAAATCAAATTTGATCAAAAGACATTAGAGAAGAAGTTAAAGACTATGCTCTCCGACGCGGAGTATCAGATGAAAGAGGAACCTTCAAAACTCCTCTCCGTGCGAATTCAATCGTATTTAACAGGGGCGGGATACCTTCAAGATCTCACCGATGGGCTCTCTGGCTATCGCAAAGTCCAGGAATACGCGGAACACGTCGCACAACGTGGCGACGTGTTCCTCACAGAACTTGAAAAGATCTATTCTTCGATATTCGATACTCAAAAGTGTTCGCTGTATTATTCATGCGAGAGAGAGAAGAGAGATGAGATGCTTTCAGTATTCACGGACATCGGGAAGTGTATGAGGATGGGTGTTATAGATGAAGCAAAGAGAGAGGAAGTTGGTTTGCCTTTAAAAGACGTACAAAATCGGGAGATTAGGGCGATGGATTTTTTATCACTTTCAAACCCCCGAAACGAGGCGCTCGTTTTTCCTCTCAAAACCAATTACGTTGGATTTGGGTTCAATTTTGTCGCATTGGACTTTGCGATGAATTCCTCGTTTAAAGGCCTTTGCGAAATTATTGAAAAACTTTTTCTGTGGGACAAAGTGCGAGTTGAAGGCGGCGCGTATGGGGCGTGGGTGACGGCACAGGCGGACGGGGTTTTTATATTCCAATCGTATAGGGACCCTCACATCACTGAGACACTTGAAGTGTATAAAGAGATCCCAAAGCTTGTCGAGACGATGCAACTGGACAAGAACACACTTGAAAAGTTCTTAATAGGGATTTTCGCACAAATCGACATGCCGAGAAGTCCTGAGGCTTTTCTTGAATTCTGTAAGTTGTGTTTACAAGAGAACACAAGAGAGAACTACTACGAAGTGAGAGAAAAGATGTTTGATGTCACTCCACAGTCTATTCTCGAGACCCTTAAAATCATTAAAGAAGGAATTAAACATGCAAATGTGTGCGTTGTTGGGAATAGAGATGCAATTGAAAAAAGAGCTTATATATACAGCGATATTATTGAAGTCTTTAAGAAATAATTGAATCCTATTTAAATAATCTAAAATGGTTCGGTATAGTTCAAATATAATTAACTAAATGGTTTTTAATTAATTGCCGATTTAATAGTAAACAAAACTATAAAATTGGAGTATTAATCATTTGATTTTTTTTAGCTTATTACTATTTTATTATTAGTTCACACTTTAACATGTAAATAGTATTTTTATTATATGTTATTAGTAAAAAAACAAATAACAATTTACTATACTTAATAAGTTAATTTTATTAAACAAATACTAGTTTTATTGTTTTGCAAAAAAAACAATTACAACTAATAATCACAAATAACTAAATTTATAGTTTAATTTAATTAAAAAAAATATTTAAAATATAATAATTAAAATAATTATTTTTAATTATTTTTATTAAATAATTAAATTATAATTATTTTTATCTATTTTAATTAATATAATTAAAATAATAAAATACCAAAAATAATAAATAATTCAAATAATTTAAAACCAATTATGAGATTTAAAAACAAATATCAACTTAATATTTGTATTTAAGTAAGACATATGTCACAGATTGATGGATATCATATGATGGTAGTTTCAAAGTATTTTTCAACTTTTCAAGATTTTATAACTCTTCAAATAGTTTGCAAAAAGTATCAAAATAATATGGAAAAATTTCATTTCAATCCAATTCCGCTGACATTTAAAATTCAAAAATATTTTCCAAATATCGAAACACTTCATTTGTGGAGTGTCTCTGATGAAACATTTCATAACATAATTATAAAAAAAGAAGAACGTTATATCAATGAGACTCCCCGACACTTCTTCTGTATTATTGTGTGGTATAAAGTGTCTTATGAAGACGCCCAAATTAACACAACAGACACTATTCTTTTTAAAAATGTTGTCTTTACACAAAGGGACAGAGAAATTTATGGAACTACTGTTTTAAACACTGCAAAACCACAAATTTGTTCTCTTGGTGACTTGGCATTTTCATATTCAAATATAACAGAATTTCAAATTCCACTACAAATCACTTCAATTGGACATTCCTGTTTTTCATATTGCAAAGAACTCAAAAAATTTTCATTTTTAGAGAACAAATACATCAAAACAATAAACACGGAATTGCTCTTTTGTGGATGTACAAATTTGAGTTCAGTGGATATAGCGGAATGTGTCAGTGAACTTAAAGAAGAATGTTTTTCAAAGTGCATTTCATTAAGTCATATTATACTACCAAGAAGTGTCACTTCATTAGGAAACAAGTGCTTTTTTCGGTGTTCAAAATTGACACAAATAAATATTCTCGAAAGTGTTGTGTCAATTGGAAGTGCTTGTTTTGATCAATGTGAAGCATTGAATGAAATTGATATACCCAAAAGTGTTATTGAATTGAAGGAGAAGACGTTGTATGGGTGTTACAAAATGAGTAGAGTTGTGTTACATGAAGGCCTAACATTATTAGGAAAATATTGTTTTAATGCTTGTATGCAACTTGAAGGTATTGTACTTCCTCAAAGTCTCGTAAGTATCAATTCTTTCTGTTTTAATTGTTGTTCTCAATTAAAACTCATTCAAATACCAAATAACGTGAAAAGTATTGGAGAAGCATGTTTTGCATATTGTGAGGAGTTGAGAGAAGTTACATTACCAGAAACTTTAAATGACATCAGTGACGCGTGCTTTGCTTATTGTAAACAATTGACACAAATTAACATTCCAAAACGGGTGACAAAAATCGGAGAGTGTTGTTTTTATAATTGCAAAGCACTCAAAACATTGGTTGTGCCATGGGGTGTCACTGTTTATGGACAGTTTTGTTTCGATGAAGGTATAATGATCATAAAAAGTTAAATCAACATCTTTTTGCTTGTTTTGTTATCTAAAAACGTATTTTTTCATTTTTAAAACGTTTTAAATTTAAACTTTTCATACAAAACAACAACAAAATATTACATTTAAAATGTTAAATAATTATTATCGATGTATTACTACATCAAACAAACATCAATTTGTCTCAAACACTATAATGCTTTAAAGGAATTCAATTTAAAATTATCCGAATAATTATTTTATAAAAACAGGTTAATCACAAGTAATTTATAACAAAAAAACATAATAAATCAATTAAAACCAAAGATAATAATTGTTTTTACAACCGTTTAATAAATTATCATAAGAGTTCTTGTTTGTAAAACCCAAATAAAAGACATAAGAAAATAATTTTATGTAACACGTTGTAATAGTTGGCTTATTTCATTATCAATCAGGGCTCTCAAAATTTCAAACCCCCGTCCCTACGTGGCAAGATATAAGAACTCGATTACATTGTGATTTCAATAAATAGCATAAATCCAAATTATTTTTAGTTATACTTCAATTTCTTTGTTAATCAAAAAATACACAAAAACTAAAATAATGGCAAAAATCAAAATTTTAGCACATATTTTATAAAAATATAAAAATTTAATTTCAAAGAATTTTTCTTTCACAAATTTACCAAAGTTTAAGTAATTATTATTTATTTTTTTATTTTATATTTGTAATAAAACATAGAGCCAGTCTTTTAACATTATCTTGTCTCAAACGATATCTAGTGGACAATATAGCTTTAATATTGTCTAAAAATCGGGCATTAGGTAAAGTGTGAAAAAACCCGAAACAATTGGGATGGGTTTTTGGGACGGCTTCCCGAAACATTTCAATCTTTATGGTCCAAAAGGCACCAGATAACGTTTAAAGACTGACTCTATGTTCAACAGTAAGTATTGAATAAAAACTTTTTATGTTGACTGTTAAACACAATTGAAAACATGGATAGTGGTGCAACAATTAGTTCAAATACATCTATCATATGAAATGAATAAACATCTTCTGTTTGATTATCAAGTTTGTTTTAAAACGCGAAATAATGTTAACTAATATAATTACACTTAAAGTCTGTTAAATTAAGTCTGAAAAACAATTGATAATTATTATTTTATGTTTTAATCAGAATTGAACATCGACTTGTGAAGCATATTTTAAAGGTGTAAATTTTACTTTAAAATTATTTCCAGCAACAACAAAGTATCAAATTATACTGTTATATTTACAATGTGGCTGTTATGTTATCACAAAGAACAACAGATTATCCATTTTTCATTTATTGAATAAAAAACCAAAGAAAAACTTTTGCCATTTTTATTTTTTATTTTTTTTAAATACCAACTAAAAAAATAAAGCCCCAAAAAATCGAAAAGACAAGTTAAAACAATTTTGTTTTATTCAAACATTAAATTAGAATTGCCATCAAAAAGTTTATTTTAAATTTTCTGAAACCATTATTCAATAAAAATCAACCCTTGTCTTTTTAACTTTGTTTTTAAAAGCCCTGTTATCAATAAACTTAGTTTCTAAATATAATAAACAATTTTGTGAATTTGAATAAAGAAGTAATACCTTAAAAAAAATAAAAATAATAGGGGTTTAGTACAAACTCGAAAAAACAATTCGTTGAAATTGTTTTGTAAAAATAAAAATATTTTTATATTTAAATTAGTTAATATTAATAATAATTAAAATAGTTAGTTATTTAATAAAAGAAGAAAAAATAGAAATTATTTTATTATAATTTATGTTTTGATGATCACAACAAAATAACACCATGAATTAATTGATTAAAATAATTTTTTTATAAAGTCTGTCTAAAAACGTTGTCTTGTTGACTGAAAATATTAGGTTATTATTTTAAAATAAGAATTGGGTTTAAACTTTGAAATTTAAGTAAAAAATATGAAACAACTCTTTTTAAGTGTTTCGGAACAGTTTCCTGAATTATTACAGTTTTGTGCCAAAAATATACGTGACATCATTTAAATTACTTTATTTTCAATTTTCATTTGTTGTTTCGCCGTCATTATCTGAAATATTTAGAAAAAAACATTGTGAAAATATTAAAACAACATATTGTTTATTTTACCAAGAAGTCTGAAATATAAAAATTAAACGAAAAAAAATCGATTACAACATCAGAATCATAACTAACAACATTCCAAAGAATAATCCTTCAGCTTTATTATCATTGTTTGGTTTTCCACTTGAACTTTCATCTGAACTATCTTTCTTTTCTGAAGTCTCACTTGACTTTTCTGAAGTACTTTCAGAAGAAGTAGTTGCTGTGCTACTTGAACTGCTTGAATCAATTGAACTGCTTGAACTACTTGAATAACTAGAGACGTTGGATTCACTAGAACTTGATGACGCATCCGGAATAATTGTACTTTCAGTGTAATTTGCCGAGTAAAAGAAGTGAATCATTCCTTTTGAGACACAAGTTTCAAGTTGGTATTCTATAACACTAGTTGCTTCACCTGTGCAATCAGGTGTCGAATATTGTGTTTTTTGTCCTATTTAATCAACAACTGAATATAAAACAGAAGTTGTTGAAGTTTGAATACAGCCTTCTTTATAAAATGTTGATGTTGGATGAGAAAGCTTTTCAACCAAAATACATCCTTCGGAGTTGGAGTAATCATAGGCAACAAAAGAGTATTTGGGAACATCTTCGTTGATTGAAAAACTATCTGAGTTGATTGGAGACGTCCCTGAAACAAACCAATTGTCACAGGAGCTGGATGAATAAGATATAACGCTTTCATTATCTGTTTCATATTTAATGCAGTTCCCAGGTGTGTATATGTAACACTCACCAATTTTGTAAACAGAGTTGTCTTCGGTACCCTTTTTCCATAAATAAGAAGAAGAAGCCAATGTGAACAATAAAACAGTCAACACCATTGCTTTAAAAAGTTCAAAAACTCGATTAAATGCTTTAGTAAATATTTTTCGTTAAAATGAAATAGATCAAAACAAGAAATAGATTTATAAAACGTAATATTATCATTCAACGTGAAACTGATTTTTTTTCTTTGAATAGTATTTTTGAACAATTTTTAAAATAATCGTTTCAATGTTAAACATAAAAATATAATGCTTAAAGCATTTTTTAAAAATAATTATAATCTTTTAATCCATCTTTTTTATTTAAACCCAAAAATATGAAAAAAATAACGAATATAAAAAAACATTTAATGTACAGTTAATGGTAATTTTCATAATATTTTCAAATAAAAAGAGTTTTTTTTGTGTTTTTTTTTCAATACAGTTGGAGGAAATATGGAAATGCTAGAGAAAGGAGGATGCTCGTAACTATTGGTTAATTTCATTTGGAAAAAAATAAAATTACTATTAATTTTAATATAAATTATTAATAAAAAAATTAATAAAATGAAAAAAACCAAAATAAATTTATATTTATTATTTATTATTAATAATATTAAATTAATAAATATTAAGATGAGCATCCCCCTTTTTCTCAGCATCCCACTTTTTCCGTTAACTATAATAATAATTTAATTTTTGGATATAGTATTTTTAATATTAAATATTTTAATTGTATTTTTTTATTGTGCATATTTTCGTTTGAATTAATACACAATTACAATACATATTAATACCAATCATGTTGTTAGTTTTGGATTTGAACTACAAAGTGCCTGATTAACATGTATTAAAAGAACTATTAAAATGATTAAACAGATAATTTAATATGTTATGACAAATCTTCTTTATGAATTTATTTTTTGTATGTTTTTGATGAATAAAAAATAAATAGTTATGATTAATTTTTTACCACCTTATTATTTTACTTTGTGATTTTTGTAATAAATACATATAAACACTCGTCAAATCATTTATTAGAACCATAAAAACAATTTATTATAAAATACAATTTTTAAACCACGATATTCTTATTATTTTAGATCTATAATAATAAAAAATGGTAATAATCATATATACTTTTTTTAGTTACACATTTGTTGTATATTTAATGTGTTGTATAATTTATGTGAAACAAATTGAATTTTATTACATTGATTGATAAATAAGTCTGTCACATATTTATTATATAAAAAACAACAAAATTACTTTTGTTTATGTGTTGTTTTATGAAAAAACAATTTTACTCATAATATTTTTTCTTTGTGTTTTTTCTTTACGATTATAAACAAACGTTTTTATGTATTTTTATCTAAAACATTGCCTTCATCCAACACACAATCTTTCTGTTCACAAGTTGAATATCAACTACTTTAACCAATTTAAATGAGTCGCATTGTAACAACTTGCTAAAAGTAATCTTCGAATATATAGTATACTATGTGCTTATTTTTAGTTTTCTTGTTCTTTAAAAGCATCCACATACAACAAATTAAATTATTTCAGAACTTATTAAAAAAAGTATTTTTTCCAATTACTTTGGTTATTGGCAGGATGCTTTTTTCATTGAGTTTTTTCAAACTGATAAAAAACGGAATTACATATTTCATTTACTCCACAATCAATCAAATTTTTATTTCTCACATCACTTTGTGTGATAAATAGTGTTTTCTGATATCGAAAAAAAACACTTGAACACAACACGTTCAATACCAATTTAATACTTTGTAAAGGAAAAAACAGTCACATGTTGAATAGAATACACATCATAAAATGTGAATTTTCCGATTTTCTCAAATAATAGCAAAATGTTATAGAAGAAATTGTGTCTCACTTCACAAATTATTTTGTTCTCAATACATTGACATTTTTTTTATATTATTTATATGAGGAAGATGAACCCTTTAAAACTTGAATTGGGTATTGTATGTATAAAGTTTGAAGTGTAATTAACCTTAGGACGTTGTTAAAAAAACAAAAAAATAATATTTTTACATACTTAAAAGGTTTCCTTGTTATTCAAATACCATTTCCAATAATTATGTAAAATAAAAAACATCAGAAAATTATTCAATTATTTGACTTTAATTAAA